TGTTTGCCTCTCAATGGCCCCATGTTAAGTTTTAACTAACTCGTCTGACCAAATGTAATCTTGAAATATTAAAAATCCCAATTAAAGAGATGATTTAGTTAATGTATAACTATACATATAACATGAAGAATTCCAGATAATTTAAATAATTTTAGGTATTTTAAGTTCATACGATAGAATTCATGAAATATGTTCCATTATGCTTAATATTATATATTGTATGTTGTATTTCAGAGTTGTTACAGGCTCATGCAAGGAAGGCAAGTGCTTTGGATACTGCAGGTGAGGCATTACCATCTTTCAATAAATTGTGTAGTGTTGCCATTATCAAAAATATAATTGCACATATTATATGAAGAATAATATTTGAAACAAAATCTAGTGCCCTAATATATAGGGTACTAGATTTTAGGGTACTAGTAACCCTAGAAACCATTAATGTCTTCTGGCATTTCTCATTAAAAATTTTTGATTTCTCAAATTTCTACATAATTTTAATGTTGAATTTGTAGCTTTACTTAAGTACCTAAGTCCTGTATATATAGGCATTTCCTTTATTTTTCAGATGTTCAGATTTTTCAGATGTTCTGTAGAAGCATGTTGGGTATGAATGACAGAGCACATCTCATTGAATTTATCACTTTTAATTGAAATTTTTTATGTAAATTCACAAAAGGCAACATCAAAGTTACACATTGCACACTGTAACAACCCAGATTCTAATAATTGATAAAATACGAAGTAAATATAATCCTCATTGTGATTTTTATCATAGAAGTCAGGCCCGTAGCCAGAATTTTCCAAGGGGGGGTTCGTTTTTCTAAAAAATTCTAGGGGGGTTCACTTTGGCAAATATGGCCAAAAACCACTCAAAAATTAGTCAGAATGGTGAAAAACTGCATGATTTTGAAAGAAATTTTGGCCAGGGGTTCGTCCGAACCCCCCGAACCCCCCCTGGCTACGGGCCTGGAAGTATCCAAAACTAATAAAAACTCTATTTCTTTGTGAAAATGCAGATCAGGATTGCATCAACTTGAAAATGTTTCTTATCCGCTGCAGACTTCACCCTCTTTCCCATCTGGTAATTGAACAAAGTGAATGTTTATAAACCTTATGATTACTTGAGTAAGAGATCTATCGATGTTTGCAACTCGTATATTTTGCAACACCGTGTGATTCCATTTCATTTCTCCACATAGCATCTGTTCCAGGTATGTTCGGCAATCCTACAGTGCCGAAAAGCTAGAAAACACATGTTCGGTGGAATATAGACATGATGTATCACTGATTTACTGCACAAATCATTTTGGGGGTGTCATGAATTTAGAAATGATTCAATCATTAATATTTGAACATTTAAAAATATTTTGAATTTAATGATGTGCAGTGGAAATATGGGATATTATGGATGCGTTAATCCTCTCTGTTTTGTGTTATTTGAAGAGGAAATGCATGAATGTCACGATGTGATATTCACGGGGAAACATTTGTTTGAGAGTGTGATTCGAACATGTGCTGGCAAATGTAAAAATATAAATAAAAGTTTTACAAAGTTTACCCCCTAGGCTGTTTCTTCAAAGCTTATTCTTCAATGCACAGACACCCAGGATGTGACGTTTGTCTATTTGAAAATCTATTTGATATTAATTATGTTAATTAGCCATCATTCTCAATTTTAAAAAATACATACAGAAATATTTGTTATATTTCTGCGACAAAAGACAAACTATAAATTCTCTAAATGCAACAAGTTGAGTTCAGAGTTACCCCATTGGTAATAATACCCCATTGGGAACAATATCCCATTGGTAACTGTACCCTATTGGTTACCCCTTTATTACCAGATCTGATTTTGTTTAGTGTTTGTGACATTATAGAACTCCATGCTCAGAAAATTGAGAATATGTTTCTCAACTTCAAAAGTCTCTTAAAGATTCTCTCGTTTGATAATACATCGATTGCGATCAAATCTGAATGCTGGAATCACGAAGTGGATACTGAAATGTTGGAGATAAAACATTTTCTCGAATGGCTTTGATTGACACCCTAGTTCAATATCATTGGAAGATCAGGAAGCAGAAATATGTTTAGCCTGATAATTAAAATATCATGGCTTTTTAATTCTTGGTATTTGGAACATGAAAGGATGTTTTACCAATGTTAAACTCCAGCATAAACAATCACCGGATCTATTTCAGTGAACATGCCAAAATCTGTCAAAGCGTTCGATGTTTACTTTAACACAGATGTTGAACTATTTAACCAGCCCAAGAAGCATGTGTATCGGCTTGTCAACATCCCAGATACTCTCAAACCAGGAATACATATCTTTAGCAACAGCCATGAAAACTTGCCAAAAGTTTTGAAAGTTTAGACCATCTTGTGATTTGCTTACCCCTTGTGGAAAATCCTATAGCAGTCATATTGAAATGGGAATTTTTATGAAAAGAGTAGAATTAGCAAGGAATAAAGTAAACAGACATGTAGATGATACTGTAAATTGTACAGAAATGTAAGAAAATCAAGCAATTCATTGAAGTTAGGAAGAGAAAAGTTGTTGAAAAGACCTGACAAAAAACGAAGGTTTTGGAGGTCTTGCGATCTGCTCTACCTGAAATACAAGACAAGATCAAAGTTAACTCAACGGACTTGCAATAATACAAACAAGCCTGCGATGATGGGATGTGTTTGGGGAAACTACCGAGCCAGAAAACTCAAAGTGGTTTGCGTTGATAAATGTGAAATTGCATGGAAGAAGAGAAATTAACGATGAAATTGATTGAAAATGGATGAAGTTCAAATTTCAAATTGTAAAGAAATTTACAAATTTCGTATCTTTTTATGGATGAAGCAAGATATTAAGAAATAACTTTCAGGTCCAGAATTTTTGATTAATTTGATTCAGACACCTTTCAGATACGATTTCTGATAGAAATTTTGTTCATATTAACTACTTATTGCAAACTTTGCAACTTTTCTTATATCATCATTCCAAATAACATTATGTTTTTTTGTTATCCTCACATTTCATTCTTTGCTGGGTCTTCAGTGTTTCATATTTTCATCAGAGGGAAAACTGTTGGGGGAGATTTGTGTTGATGGATATAACATGCATGCGCTGCAAACCTCAACATCTATATCGGGGTAGGTCTTGGTAGGGAGTATATATGGGGAGTCTCTTGATTTCCTTGCATCATGGTGGCCTTCCTGAAGAAGTACAAATGGAAGATTAAGAAAATTCTATTAAGTTTAATTGAATATTTTTGAACATCTATATTGGGGTAGGTCTGGGAAGGGAGTATATATGGGGAGTCTCCTGATTTCCTTGCATCATGGTGGCCTTCCTGACGAAGTACAAATGGAAGATTAAGAAAATTCTATTAAGTTTAATTGAATATCTTTGAACATCTATATTGGGGTAGGTCTGGGTAGGGGGTATATATGGGGAGTCTCTTAATTTCTTTGTATCATGGTGGCCTTCCTGACGAAGTACAAATGGAAGATTAAGAAAATTCTATTAAGTTTAATTGAATATTTTTGAACATCCATATTGGGGTAGGTCTGGGAAGGGAGTATATATGGGGAGTCTCCTGATTTCCTTGCATCATGGTGGCCTTCCTGACGAAGTACAAATGGAAGATTAAGAAAATTCTATTAAGTTTAATTGAATATCTTTGAACATCTATATTGGGGTAGGTCTGGGTAGGGGGTATATATGGGGAGTCTCTTAATTTCTTTGTATCATGGTGGCCTTCCTGACGAAGTACAAATGGAAGATTAAGAAAATTATATTAAGTTTAATTGAATATTTTTGTACATCTATATTGGGGTAGGTCTGGGTAGGGGGTATATATTTGGTACACTTTAGGGTTACCAAATGTGTTCCACTTAGACAGGTTTTATTGTACAAACATACTCAAAGATTCATCTGCAGAAGTCATTATAAATATATTGAAAATGTTTAAAGGGAAACATTTCAACAGCACTACCCTCTATAGATCGTAAGAACCAGATTAATCCAATAAGAAATATGATCTAAAAAATTGAATAGTTCAATTAATTGGAGATGTCCTTATTAGGAAAGTGTTTATAACGCAGCATTCTCATACAAAGCTGAACAATATAAAGCTTCCAGATTTCTAGAATTGGATCAGATGTATTAAATAAGCAAATAGCAGATTGTCTTAATGTACCATATAAATGATACACTTTATTGCCAGAACTGGAATTCTGTATGCTAATTTCAGAACTGAAAATTTGAAAAACCAAAATATGCATAATTAATTTTGTGTCGTTCATTCAGTTAAAATATTTGAATGGAGCAAGTGTATCTTTGTATTCTCCTTTTGTTTTATCATAGGAACCTTGTGGATGCTTAGTGCAAGGGAAGACATATTAGACAGATTGGGTATACATGTTACATTGTGTAATTGTTGTATTCTACTTGTAAACATGGCTATTTCATTAAGAGCCCTGGTCGTCATTGTTTATAGCTGCCTTATTTGTAACATGCTAGACTGATTGTAATATGTTGTCATGGTAGAGTGGAAAGGAGGAAATATCCTAGATGCGAGTAGAAATAATCTTCATTTACGTCATGAAAAATTAAAAATTCAGTTTATCAACTTTGAAAATTTAATTTTCTTTGAAAATGTGACTTCTAGGTCGGGGAGATTCCCCATAGACCCCATGTTGTAAAATCACAAAAAGTGAAATATTTTTTCTTTTGTTGGGCTGATAAGACATAAGGGTAATATGAAAAGGGAACCACTAAAACTGATGAATATTCAAGTTAAATGGAATTTTGTTATACCCTGCCATGTTATTTCCCCGGAATCAGCCACTTAAAACTGATCAATACAAATCCTGGCAATATCCTCGTTTTACCTTGACAATGCAATAGTTATTTTTTCATTTTGAATAATCTAACATTCATACTCAAACAAATTTTCTTATTTTGTGTTTCAGACATTGATGAATATTTCCGACGAGGTAGTGGGACTCGTCAGAGTACAAAAGCCCTCGCGGTCAGCTCGGCCATCCAGGGTTCACGCTCCGCCCTCAAGTCTCCTGGTTACAGGAAGTGGGGGTCATCAGACAATGTTAAAACAACCCCAAACCAAAGCCCCTCTCAATCACCAAGTATAAGGAGGAAAGGCTCACTAAGTAATTCACAATCAGGTTCTGTTGAGAACATGCAGGTCCAGGTTAGTTTGGGTTTGCTAATAAATATGTGTTTGCTAGTAAATGTGGGTTTGCTAGTAAATATGGGTTTGCTAGTAAATATGGATTGCTAGTAAATATGGGTTGCAAGTAAATATGGTTTGCTATGTGAATAAGCTAGTAAATCTGGAAAAATTAGAGTATTTGGGCATTTTATATTAATTTTAAATTTTATTATCTAACGTTACATTACGTTACATTTCATTTAAAAATCATTGTCCCATTTTAAAAAAGCGATGCGAATAACACATCAAAATCAAGTCTGCAGAAATAGGATAAATGTTTTATGATATCTTCTCCTTTTTTATTGTTTCAAATATTTATCTATGTTTTAGAGACCACCAAGAAGACAACAATTTATTTTTGCCCAGGAGAGCAATATTTAGAATTTTGGTAATATCATAAATGGAGGAAAAATTGTGAAATAATTGTATTGCTTTGTGGTTACTTATTATATGGTGATAAATGAGGTATCGCTTCTGCTGTTGGTGATATAATACAAATGTTTTATTCTATTGGGAAATATTTAGTTTATTATACACTGTTATGTTTCTCCTTCTATAACAAGGGAGAAGAAATATATCTTTTACTGATCAATAGGCATCACAGGGAAATATCACATGATATTTTATGTCATGTGATGCATGTTCAACCAATCACAGACTGGGAAACATGACAGTGAGATAATAATATAAATTATTGTATGATGAGATTTTATAATATTATACGATGAGATTATTGCCCTAATATGGCTAAATGCCCTGACCTTTGAAGTATGTGTTTCTGTCAGCCAATGAATGCATACTTCCCCATATTAGGACATAACAACTTCATAATACATACTTAAAGTGTACTTACTAGATTGCATTCATGGTTTGGTCATGTTTTGATAGATTTGATACATCCGAAAAATGCAGAAAGTTACTTCCAAATTTATTAAGGTTCATACAAATACGAGGGTTGTCCCAGAAGTAATGCACTATATGCTCTAACTTTATCAATAATTGATATTTCTCCATGAAATTTTCAGTAAATCTTCCTTGGAGACATTTTGATTATTCTGGAAAATTTCATGTTGACTGATAAAACTATATTGATGTTATAATAAAATCAAGTTGGTGAGTTTGGGTAGGGCGGGGCAGGTTATACAGTCACGTCAAAAGGAATAAAAAATTGAAAATATGAAATAATTAATCAACAAATACCATTTGGTGTAGCTATAATAAGTATGCTCAAAAATACATTTTAAGATACTCAATTACTATGAGCACACCCCAGATTTAATGGATGTATATTGCACAGTGTCCCATTTCACATTTTCTCAAAATATTGCCCTTTGCATGTTATGTACTTTTGATGCCTGTCAGGTCAAACACTCTCGGCAATTTCTTCCACCGTGACTTGTTGAGTTTTTGCCTCTCATGTTTGGAGTTGTCATACAGGGTCAAACCGTCTCTTTTAAATCTCTTCTGCCACCCCATAATTGTAGTTCTATCTGGTATATACTCCTTATATACTTTCTTCATGGTAGCATTGTTTTGCGTGGCTGTGAGTCCAAGTGAAGTATGAAATTAGGCCACCAAATGCAAGGCCTTCTCTTATCAGGTGAGAATTGCAGCCATTTTTGCAATTTCTTGACTGTGACTGTATTTGAATTCGGACTATTGAAATGTGGTATTATGACATCACAGTGCTAAATGTCATTATTCGTACTTGGTTTACATCATGCTGAATAAATTTAACAATCTCCCAAACATTTTGACTATTTAAAGGAAAGAAATATTAATAAAATAACACTTTAGATCTTTTCATAATTAGAAAAATTGGTACCTGCCCCGCCCACCCCTACCCCCATGTTGTTATAGCAACCATATTAAGACTTAAAATTATTGTTGGATGCTGAAACTTCAGGATATAATAGATTAAACTTCAATTGTTATATACAAAAAATTTCAGCTGAATTAAAGAATATTAAAGAAAGTTAGAGCATATAGTGCATTACTTCTGGGACAACCCTCGTACACCTTAATTACAGTAAAACCTGTCTTAGTGGAACACCTTTATTATTGTTCCACTTTATTATATAGGTTTCACTGTGTTATATTGTATCAAGTCTCTGCTCCTCTGCCACTCTAATACCTTACAAGCAAAAAACAAACAAAAACAAAACTAGTAGCATTGACTTGATATAGAATCAATTATTGTTGTTTTAAAATATGGACATTGGCCCAATTTAAACTCAAAACCATTTATTAACAGGAATTATATGTACATATTGTATGTACATTAAGTTGGGCAATAGTAGAAATATATAAGTGCTAAATCCTCAACTAAATACAGTGTTCTCTCCAGTGTTGAAGCAACTAGATGTTGCACCCAGTTACGAACTGGTTAATTAAACCATGGTTTCTTGAAAATCCTTCGCAACCATATGAGAATTTTGAGGTAATACAATATCACGATTTTTCTATTGATTTTGACATTTTAAAATTTTGCAAAAAAATCTGAAGAGAACACTGTTCTTTATGTAGTCAATGATTGGCATGTCATGATCTTCACTTAATGTATAAAATTGACCACATTTTGACACAGCAAATTGAATTAAAAGAGAGGATCTGAAATTAGCCATGCTTGCTAGATATCTTATATGCTGCAGGAAGGGAAGCTTTCTCCTCTACCCAGAGGTCAAGTCATGTGACCATCAATTAACCAATCATAGCTATTGAATCTATATAATGTATATATGCAGGATGGTGAAGCTGTGCTTATGCCTCCTCCAAGAACCAGAAAAATTAAAAAGAATAAAAAAGGAAGTGAGAGGTACGTATAAGCTGGAACTGGGATGGGAGCTAGATAATAGGGTAGGGTTGTATATAAGTGAGGTTGGAAATCGGCCTTACTCTGAGTTACACAGTTCTAAATAGTGTATACAATTTCTGCTTAAAATTGAACAAAGTCAATTTTGCAGTTGCCATGTGGAACATTGTGGAAAATGTGTAGAATTTTGTACATTTATTTTAGTGGTGGAATGTATTTGTATTTGCACTCCATGCATTATTGGGGAATTGGTATGGAAGGGTATTGGAGGTTGATTGTACTCAGAGAGTCGCAACTAAACCAGAGACTCTGCATGTTTATAAAACATAACTTCACATTGTGACGTAATTTCACATACCTTCCTCTGCACTATCCCTACACTATAATATTCTAACTAATATAACATGCTTTCCCAGTGGAGCATGTAATTTCAAACTCTCCCTATGGTATATATGCTATCATGTCCATTATCAAATGATTTAAACATTAACAACACTTGCATTAAACACGAACATCACCTTGGCGATGAGTACAAAAGAAGACAATAACTTCTTCTCTCTGGGTTAAAACCAATCTGTAGAAACGTGTTAAATTGCGCGTGAATTCCTTAGATTCCTCAGAACTCTAATCTCCGAGTGTGAACTTAAGTGTTTTAAGGCTTCCTGGGGAAAACATTAAAATCTTTGTTGTTAAGATTAAAGTGAGAATGTTTTAACAACCATTGTTACATCACAAGAAGTGTCCCCATAGCGACAATGAATTGTTTGACATTTCCGGGAACTGCACGAGAGCTACAAATGTATGTCATGTCCTATTAGAACAAGAACATCTTGGCTGATTGCTAAAATGTCTAGCGTGCATTCACTCGACAAATCTATCAAATAATATCATTGGCTTAAAATTTTATCTATTAATAATGTCTTATTTTCTATTCCATTTTTTAACTGACTGAACTAGGCATTTTCACGGGGGTAAAGCAGACCGATGATGCAATGAACCTGCTCGGCGGTATCATGACTGTGTAACGGGTCTTAATGTATAAGTGTGCTCGCCGGTAGGTTCAAGCAACGCGGATCCTCAAAGCATGTGCTCATGGTATATTCGTGTTTTAACACCCGTGATTTTAGAGCTCAAATACGCAACATGAAATTCAATAAAATATATTAGTTAGTCAGTATGATAAGTGATAAAAACTAGCTTAGATTCAATGTGCCACGTAACAATTTTTTGATTAAAAACATCCAGATATTTCTGTTCAATAACATACAGATCAAAGGAGCAAGCCACAATAGTTAAGTGATCAGTTCATTCTCTTTAACTCATTTCCAGAGTGCACTAAGATTTTAACAGTATAATTGCATGATTAAAGTTTGATACAAACAAAGCACAAGATAATTGGTTGTGGCTCTCCCCAATTTTCTAGTTTAGAATGTTTTCATTATTTTACCATCACATTGGGACAGGGCACGTCACATCAAACCTTCAAAACTATCCCACAATGCTTCAACATTTCCGTTACTTGTCACAAAAATTTGAATGAAAATCCTCATTTTATTGTATCAATTGAAAGTTTATTCTATTGTCGTCAAGCCTATGTTAGGCTTTTCTTTCTAAATTATATCTTTTATATTTGTAGTCGATAATTTAAATTCTGATGAGAGTGACATTTTTGTCGAGGGACGTCACTGTGGGATATCTTCTCTGATTGCTTGTCAAATATATCTTATACACCATAGTGAACATTGTATTTGATGTTATATTGCTTTTATTGAATTTGTTATCTCAGGGGTCTTTACTATCTTTTCTAATGAATCCTTGCTAATCTGTCTATAGTTAGTTGTGATGATGATAAGGGGTCTTCTCAAATGTGACTTGAATCCAATTCTGAACTTTGAACAATGGCTCACTAAATCTGTTAATCTAGTATGTCTTTATGATATTCTTGTTTAAACAATAAGCTTTGGAAATTATATCATTTTGATTCAATAGTTTTATTTTATGAAGTGTTGTAAGATTACATTATTGCTACTCAGCTATACCAGTATCCAGTAAGATTGAATTTGTGCATATTGTGACTTACTCTTATGATCAAGTGTATTACTATGTATTACCTATATAGTTTTTCACTTTCCCGTTTCTTATATGTAGTTGCCTTCACATGTGTCCATTTTGAGACTAAATTCTGTGTTCCTATGGTTTATAGGTTTCTGAATTATTTGTGTTTTATATTTGAACAGCCAATATGAAACAAGACTAAAATTTCTCCAAAATTAAGCCTTAATCACTTGAAATCAGATCAAAATCACTCAAAGTAAGACCCAAATCACTTGGTTATTTGTCCAAAATCTCAAATCACTCAGTAATAGACTACAATCACTCTATAAGTTGAACCAAAGTGGCACTGTACATTTTGAGATGATCACAATAATGAAATGTTGATAGCTCTCAGATCTGAATCTGTGATTGTTGCCACTTTGCCCCCTGTTCTGCCAACTATGAAATTATATGACAATATGTCAATACAGTCAGTCCATGTTAAGACATTGGTGTCACGTCCTTGTCAAATTTTTAAAATTGCCAAGAATTCAGGTTACTATTTACTCTTTTTCTTTTTTCTTAAATGCATTGGGTTGCATGTAAGATGTTGCAGTCCAATACAGAAAAATACCCCAACATGAAATGATCCCAGGTTACATGTGCATATTCCTAGTAGGCCATGTTTGTTAGGGACACACCAGATTAGTTAAAATCAAGACTTTAAAGGAGTTACATAAGACAATAGAGAGATGATTATTCCGAATTCCTTTTCAAATAAAATGCCAGCTTTTGATAATATACTCAATATTTTGCATGTCAAAATTCCTACCTTGAAATTTTTATCTTACATGATTTGTCTTAGAAGGGAAAGATTATGAGATTGACACTGGGATCATCTCAAATCAATCTCTCATATTATTACCTCAGTACTTTCCATCAAGAATTGTTAACAATAGTTACCAAAGATACCATAATATTTATCATACTACCATACTATGATTTGTATTGTACTAAGTATGGTTCCCCTCCCCACTTAAAAAACATTTACATTAATAAATTAAAACATGATTTTTCTAATTTTTTAAAATATTTTTCAGTGATCCGAATATACATCGTTCAGAGTCAGACCCTGATGTCTACAACCACCCTGAGCAAAGCCCTGCAAGGCCTATATCTGAAGGTGTATTCTACTGAGAGAGGTCACTTCCCAGAATGCACCAGTGCCAGTGAATTGCAGTGCTCATCCTAAGGAATATTTTAGTAAAGGAGACTGTTACCCATGATCCTTCAGCAGGGATTGACCGACTCCAATGATGAAATGATTAGTACTAGGAAGGACACACCCTGATACTATAGAAAAGAACTTGGGATTAACATACTAGTACATTCATCTTTGTAAAGAATGTATTGGAAAATTAGGAAACATTTTAGTATCTCTGAGCGAATGTGAGATAACAGTGAAACAAGAAATGTTGTTCCCGTCAATGAAAAATGTTGGAAAATGTTGCTAAAGTTGATGAACCAAACATTGACATAATATTGATGGCAAAAAAATCCATAATCCTCCATAAAAGAGGGACTCTTCTTGAATTATCCTGTGTATACATACATGTAGTCAACTTTTTAGTACTGTATTAGTAAGCGTTTATAATGAATGCAAGTATAATTGTTTCCATATAGTGTACATTAAAATCTCTCAGAATTAGGATGGCTTACCTGTGTTCACATGTAGAGGTATTTACATGTTGAGGTGTTCACATGTCGAGGTATTTTCATGTAGAGGTGTTTACATGTCAAGGTATTTACGTTGCAAGTTGTTTACATTTAAGGGTGTTTACACATCAAGGTGTTTGCATGTTGAAGTGTTCACTTTAGAGAGGTTTTTGAACTCATTGTATCACCAAGGTATTCGACACTTATTTTAGTTTGATACCTGAACTATGCAAGTCTCATGATCTATGTACATGTATGTATACATGACTGTATATGGTGTCAAATATATAATGAGAGATAAGTAAAGTCTCTTGCGAATATACATTTTATAATATGTAACTATTATATAAGTTAAATATAATAATTCAAAATATAATTATTTGAAAAAATAAATACAAAAAATCTGCAAATTATATATATATAATGTGTCTATTAGTATGTTTTATCAAGAGGTAATTATTTCACCATTTCAAAGAGTGCTGAGATTCTGTTATTGACATCATCTTTGAGATTGGTGTTCAGCATTTGGTGTCTGTTACAATATGTTACACTTTTGAAACAACTTGCAATAAATTACAAAGAGGTGACATATTGGTATAGGCTCCAAATTTTTTGTGGGCGGTGTTTGGTGGTCAATTTTCAGTGACTGGCAATTGGCATCTGTAACAAATGGCAGGTGGTGATATTTTGCATGTTAATGCCATGTCTAAAAGTTTCTATGACGTCTAAGAAAGAAGTTTCATTCATTTTGTTTTTACAAATTGAGCTTTTTCCAACATGTAATATAGTCTTGGATATGGAAGAGATAACCCTGTTATATAAAGCGACAATATGTGTAACAAATTTTTGTTGCATTTCCTAAAGGGTCTGGCCAAAATAGCATTGAATATGAATGAGTTATGTGTTTAGAAATGTTTAAAACAAGCAATTTGTTTGAGCAACAAATTTTCGCTACATTTATATATCTTCCTCAGGTAATCTGCATCAAAGTTTTCTTTACAATTATGACATTACAATATACAGGTACAGGTAAAATTGTGGGTTCCACAGCCTCTTTTTTTATCAAGTTAGATGAAGAAAGACTCGGCTTAATCAGTTTGACCAACACGAGGAGTATAGAGGTTATTGACTGGGAGAGATTGAATATGGGTTGTTTACAAGTTTACATAGATATTGACAGAGGTACAAAACCAATATTCAACTTCTGACCAGGAAATAAGGGTTTCATACCACGATGAGTCATAAACTAGAATTAGATTATCAAAAAAACAGGGGTGACCAGATGAATTCTGTTTCAATACTGGGACATCCATAGGAAAGAAAATTTTTTTGAGGAAGGAGCTTTTAGATATGAATTATATTCCCTGTGTTATTCACCGGGAAGTAATAGTATCATGGTATAAAGACTGTGCTTTTTTAAGTCTAGTTGGATTAATTTAATATTAGGAATAACACAAGATTTTAATGATGATGCTTACAATGAGTGAACCTGTATGCATCCACAGATGTAGGAGCTAGTATAAACTAATAATTACAATTAAGGATTACATATCTTGACATATTCAGATGCTAATTCTTCATGCTCTCTTTGGTATATTAATTAGATTTCTTTTAAGATTCATTATCTTATAGAAGCCATATGATGAAGACATTTACAAACATTTAATTCAACTCTTTGACACTTTTGGAGCTGATTAAAAATATCTGGAAATGTATTCTATATCTTGTACACAATATTTTGCCAGTCATAATTCTAGTTCCGGTCTATTTCTTTATACTAGAAGGTGCCTGAATTAAGCGGAATATCACTTAGAATACTCTGGACACTCAGCCTTCATGGGGATTGAACAAACTTTGTGTATTTTTCAGTTAATAAAACCATTTAGTCTGGACTCATTAAACCATTGAAACAGTATATATTACTACCATTTGCATTCGTTTGACTTCACTTCTTAAAAGAGAGCTTCGTCTTGTTCGTGTAGTTTAACTAGACTCTGCGCGCAGGGTAATATATTATATATATGCTCAATTATCCTATAAATGGAACCATTCTTTTAAAACCATGACGCAAACTTGCATAAATTTATGTATTTTCTTATTACCAACCATCATAATTAAGGAAAATAATTACAAAGTGTTTCAATTCTTGGTTTCTTGATATTAAGTATGATTATACTGGACACTTTTGACATTGGTGCCGTGTACAAGATAAAGAATTCTGTTTTTAATGAGACATTAATCCATCTACACGTGTTTCAGATTAATTAACGTTTACTTGGACATTTGAATTGGTCATTCTTGGTTTACACGACGTCTCAATAGAATGGTCAAACCTGTTTTTGACATGTTATGATCATATACTCCTAATTATTTTAATGTTTTTGTACATTATAGTTAATTAATTATTTTGCCAATGGCATTTCTTTTTCATGACTTCAGAATTGTTGTGTTGTCAATCTAAATCAAAAGTAAAAAAAAATTATGAAAGATAATCGAATTTGTGTAAGTTCAAAATTGGCTTTCTGTGCTTGCGTGGCATTCTCATTTTCTAGAGATAGTTTTGTTCTTTTTCCCACACAACGGAACTTTGTATCGAATATATTACATCAAGGGAAAAGGCAATACACTGGAAATTTCTCAAATATTATATTATTGGCTAATAGTGCACGAAATTATAAATTGGGTATTGTAACACACTTGATAACATCAGATTCATATCTGATAAGTTCACCAATCTTAAATTATGCTCATCATATCATCTTTTTTCAACTTAATTCATATCAATGTATGCAGTAATTATGCAAATTGAAATCATCTAACATCTGAGTGTATTAAAAGTGTCATCTTAACGCAATAGAACATGTTCACTTAACATTAAGCCATGTAAGATCAAAGGAAACACATTAATTTATTTGTCTCTGTGTCTTTTTACATTTGAAAGTATGTAGGAAGGCTGACCTTTACATCAAGTAACTTTAAATGCATTGTCCTGTTAATTAACCATTGTAGCTTTTCTACAGGTTTTCTATGTAAATACTTGCATATAAAACAGTTAATGCGAAAAGTCTTGCATTACGTCTCTCTGTTAATGGGAAACAACAGGGGCTAATGCAATAATATATTGTGATTGTTTTATATGCATTATTTATATATTTATATCTCCCCTTGGTATCTCATACATGGAACTCATGACCTGGTACATAGAGAGGATATCCTATGATTTATGAGTGATTCAATTTTTATTATCCACTCCGGGATATGATATCTGCAGAAGTGAGCTTAGTGCGGAGAGTGCAGAGTGGATGAAAATCATATCTGTAAATCATAGGATATTCTTACTTTTCCATAGTTATAGGGTGATTGTCAATTATTTCAAAATGTCTGATCAGCCATTGTTACAGTATAAGCCTTATTTTGAGTCAAAAAGCAAAAATGTATTAACAATCAAATATGACACCATGTTTTATATTTTAGTGAAAATTAGTCAAAATATGACATTTTTCCACTAGTTACACAAATATTGTTTTTATTTTGACATAATATCCAATGCATATCACAGTGACTTCTATGGAATATATGTATTTAACCTCTTATAAAACATGTGTGTAGACCAATGTTAATATATTACCCCTTTGGTGCAATGGTACAATGCTACGGTAATAACTGTCAATCATTGAACACAGGTGATGGACATTTATACAATTGTAATTTATCATATGCCTTGTTTTATGTTTAGGATTGTCTGGTGTTGTGATCTATTACTATGGCGTTGTGATCTATTGCTAGTTTAAGGTCATTGGATCATTGATATTTGATATTATCCTACACTCAGTGTACTAAATGTATAATAACATTAAAAAATAAATTTGATATTTATGGGCAAACTGAATATCCGGAGGATATTGTCACGATATACTCTGGGCGGAGGATATCGTGACGATATACTCCAGAAAACCCAATATGCGGAGGATATTGTGACGATATACTCCGCTTGTTGATTTCCCGCCAAATTGACTCTATTTGGCATGAAATTCATTTTGCAATGATATTATACATTTAGTACACTCCTTGTAAGTGTAGGATAATAAGAACATCCTATGATTTTTTTCAGAATATCATTTTATCTACTCGGTGATATTGATATATGCACTCGTTCGCTTCGCTCTCTCGTGCAGATATCAATACCACCTCGTAGATAAAAATGATATTCCTCAAAATCATAGGATATCCTATAATTATGCACTATTACTTCAAAGAGGCATTCTTTGAATCAGTTGGTTCAAAAAACCTGAAATTGGTAATATATACCTGAAATTGGTACCATAGATATCAAAAACTGGTACCATGGAAACTTGAGATTGGTACCCTAAATATCTATAATGGGTACCAAAGGTGCCTGAAATCCGTACCATAGATGCCTGAATTGGTACCATAAGATATATAAAACTGATAACATAAATAACATAATTGGGATGGTCTTGCTTGTAAATTTTTTAAAAAATCCCTCAAAGACATTTCGCATTGAGGAGTACATGAGAAGAAAGGGTTTCCAAATCAAGTTTTCCAATATGGTCCACTAGGTCTTAGAGACATGAGATTATGCACAAACCTGCTGCTGTTAACTTGGCCAAGGGAGGACACATTGACTAATAATGTGGTGTAAAATTGAACTTTATTTTGGCCAAACACTAAATTTTAAAATGACTAACTTTTTTCCATTTGTGAGTTGAACCATGATACTTGGCAAATCATTGTTACTTTGGATAAGCTTTAAAATGATATATGACAC